CGAACATAGTAAATCATATGATCCGTAACATGATTTTAATAATATACAGTAATTATTTTGAAGGTGAATTATCAAGCCACAACAGCATATGAGATTTGTTTGTGGCACAAAAACTCTGTGTAGAACAAATTCGGGGGCAGGGGAATGATGATCTACATAAGCCCCTACCATTCCTGATAGTAAACGCGATTTAGAATTTATTGTCCTATATATATTGGGTTGTAATATAAATAGTTTTTTGTTCCTCTCTTTTTTTTTTTTATTTTATTTTATTTTATTTCATTTTTTTTTTTTTTTTGTCAAACGATGAAAATGATTTAAATCTTTTTTTTTCCATTTTTTTTTTTTAATTTATATTTCTTTTTTTTGTTACACTTTATTAAAAAAAAAAAAAAAAAAAAAAAAACAGAAAATAAAACATTATTTAAATTAATTATGATGAACCCACTACAAAAATCATCTGCATTCTTAATAATATCAATCCTTCTCATAATAACATCATCCCCTCTGAGAGTAATTTCACAAAAAACTTTAACAGAAACGGAAGTGGTAGTAACAACGATACAAGCTCCAGATGTGACGGTCGTAGTACCTCCACCGGATGCTAATCCAACTGAAACGGTAATCATCGGTCAACCCAAAGAACCTGCTAAAGCACCGGGACCTGCTCCCGCTGAAGAACCAAAAGCTCCCGTACCCAATGAGCAACCCAAAGAACAACCCAAAGAACCACAGGAACCTAAAGTCACTCCTCCTCCACAATCTAAAAGGTATTCATTTATTTTTTTTTTTCTCTGTTCGTATGACATAAAAGAATTAAAAGTAACAAATAATTCCACGTTTAATAAATAGTCCTCCTGAGAAACAATCTGATTCAACAAATTCATCAAAAAGCGGTGTTGTTGTGTTAACCGGTAGCGCGCCCACACCTACCAACCTCGGCAATGTTAATATTGTAGAATGGAATTTAATAGGTGTTAGTATCATTGTTGGTGGATTAATCACGTTCTTTATGAACGCTTGGGTTTTATAATAAAGGGGGAATTGGAGAAGAACAATTAATACGAGCGAAAATGTAATTAATTAAAAAAAAAACCTTGAATTAATAACTTCAATAGATTATTTTTATTATTTATGTAAAGAATGTAGTATAATGTAATGTACTTTTTTATTTCTCATTTCTAAAATTTTTTTTTTTTTTTATATACCGTAATCATTATTCATAAAATTGATTTCTTACTTTCAATGGTCAAATTAAATAGAACAAAAGAAAATGGAATTTTCTTTGTTTACATTATGTACATTATGTAGTAACCAAAGTTTCAGAATTTTAGGTTTCAAACTATACGCTTGTACCTGTTACAAAAATAAACTAATTCAAGCTGTTTTACTGCGCCATACCTTTCTGCGAATAAAAAAAGTTTTCCAAAGTTAACCTGATTAAAAACTAAAGACGTTTCAAATTCAATTAACAAGATAACATGTGATATAGGAAGTACAACTGTCTGATGGGACGATTGAATTTTGATAACAAAATTTTTTATTCATTGAAATATAATTTACATTGTGAAAAATTATAAAAAATAAGATTCCTACTACTTCTCTTATGTATCATTACTACTATTTACCTCCTTTTATTAGGTTATTAATATGAAGAAAGACTAATTATTACCTGCCTTACTATAAATAATAAGAAAAAAAGTCGTTCTTTTTTTTTTTTTTTAAAAAAAAAAAAAAAATAATAATAATTAATCGTTGTAAACAGAATTAAATGAAACGTTAACGAAAAGTTTTAAGGAAGGATTTTTTTTACTAAATTTCTTCGAATTCTTCCACAACAGTAACATCATCATCGAAATATTTTCTCGCTTTTTGCAAAACAGAAAAATATCTAGCAGGTAAATGATCTCTAAAGAAAGTAGGTAGCAACTTTTCAATAAAGATCAAAGGACTACCCGTCAATTGTTTATATTCCTCTCGATCGTGAAAAACGTCTTTTCTTAGCGTATACTTTTTTCCTTTTTCGTGTCCAAAGTTATTCTTGTTTTCGGATGCAAGATCAATAATAACTGGTGTTTTACCCGAAGAAAACAAATTTTTCGTAGGAGTGGGTTTCGCTCCATTTTGAAAAAATTGAATTCCTTCTCCAACATGTGCGTAATTCAAAATGCTATTTCTATTAACCAAACGTCTGATCGTTGGATCATTCCAACCAGGTGGCATTCTAGTAATAATATCTTTATCATCAATAATTCTCCAAAGGGTGCTTTGCCTATCATATGGAGTATTGGCATATGAAGCAAATTCTGCTGCAAAATCCGCATCTCCAACACTTGGACTACCAAACATGTACCCGTCTCTTAAAATGCAATTTGGACCAAGGTCGTTTGTCGATTTTAAAAGTCGAGCATAAAACAAACTGGCAAGTGCCGCCCCTAATAGGAAACGAAATTCAAATCAGTAATTAATTCTATTAAAGTTTTTTATTTTTTTTTTTACATGATAGCAAGGTGAAACTACATTTGATAAGTGATGGATCATAGGATTAGTAGTATTATAAAAAAAAATCTGTACCTAATGAATGACCAGTTATCCAAACATTGATCGGTTGTTTGCTAGGACGAACAGCTTTGATGTCAGCAGCTTTCGCTCTGATGGCTCTGATCATAGTTATGTAGGGAGAAGCTCGACTTGCTCTTGCGGCGGCTCCTTCTTGAGGAAATAAAGAAGTATAAAATCCTTCATGGACTTCCCCAAATACAAAACTCCTTGCATCAACTCGCTGAAACATTAAATCAATAACAAAATCTTCAAAATTACTTGGATTGGTTCCTTTAAATACAATTACGATAAAATTATGTTCTTCACTCCAAAACATTCCTGAATAAGGACCTCCTAATGAATTTAACTCTGATAATGAAATAAATTTCATTCCCCATTTTCTTGCCTGCTCATGTATACGGGCTTCACTTTTTTTTAATAGACTTGTAACGGAATTAATAAGTCGCTCTTCTTCTGGTGAATTACTTATTATTCCCCCTTTTGAGAGATCATGCAAAGCCTCGTGAGCTTTTCTAACCAACTCGTTGTTACGCTCATAAATGATAGAAGACATAAATAATAAAAGTTCGGCCAAATCGAGATTGAATCCACGATGTTCCATCGCACCATCAAATATCGTATCATCCAATTCTTGTTCGGGCAATGGTTGTGGCAAAGGAGCATCCAACGATTTAATTCCATCTTTTACGATTTCATCAACTTCTGATGTAAATATCCTCGGGTCCCCTAGATAAATAGATTTAGATATTATTACATTCCTATTTTTAAAGCAAAAAAAAAAAAAAAAAAAAATTACCTACACCAGTTAACAGGAGATAAACCTTCTCCCCATTTATCTCCAATCCCTTGAATCACGGCACCCAACCCAAACTTAAATCCAATATGCAAAGCAAATTCCAGAGAAATAAGCGAAATGATTAACGTAGGAAACAACGTAATCAACAATATGAAATTAAACGGGCTAAATATCGGCATTGTCCAATCAAAAATCAAAGTAAATAGAATATTCTTCAAAGCTCGATTCATATATACAACGTAGGTAAGTGACGGTATCAAAACTAATACTTGAGCTTTGTTAATGGGTGTGGTTTGTAAATCCTCTACATGATGTTGATCATCCTTATGAAAACTTTTGAGCATTTCGTTATCATCTTTCATATTGCGAATTCTTGGTTCAAGAGGTACACTACTCTGTTCTACTGAAGGTGGCATGATTTATACTTATTATAAGATTGGTATAAATTAAAAAAGGTCGTAATATGGTTGTAATTTGAAAAAATGGATAGTGGGGAGGTAATAAAATGACGTTCCGTATTTATACATTTTTCTCATTACTATCATTCTTTAAATTAGGAATATGAAATCCGTTTTGTGGAATTCTAGAACGTTACAATTCTATTTTGGTGTTCATCAACACGTTGCACATCACATGTCGATTCTACTTAATTCCGGTTGGAATTAGGAAAAAGTTTATAAAGTATTTTAAATTCTTATGAAAATTATGTCATTACAAGGAATAATAACAATCATTTCTAGAATTGTAAATGATTGGATGTTTTAAGGAAGAAAATGCCCAATTTGATAATGCTATTTTGCATTCATTTTGATCTTAAAAGGTTATCAATATCGCTGCCAAAATAATTTGTTTATTCAGATTATATTTGACAAATTCCCCTAACTAACTGTATATAACCAGATAACAAAGTACTTTAAACGAATTCCTACTTGAACAACAAAGAATTTTAGTTTTGTTCATTGTCCAGAAAAATTAATTTATAAGTTAATTTTTATTAATTAATTAATTAGCCAAAGCTTTTTAATTTTGATTTGCTCGTTATAACATGTTTACAATTCTAAAATGGATTAATCGTGTTTGAAAGTTCATTTAAAATTGAGTATTAAATATAAATATAACTTTATTAGGAAAAACTCTAAATCATAAAAAGTTAACCTGGGAAATTACAATTGAAATGCACAATATATCTTTTAAACCCCCCTTCTTTTTTACCTTGGTAAGCAAGGGAAACCGAATATTTTTTGTTAAAAAATTCCGAATATAATGTGTTTCTTTCAAAGTTTTATCTTAAGAAGTTTCTTTATGCTATGCTGTCAAACGTAACGGACGATGTAAAAGAACAGGATCGATATTTAAACAATTAAACATTAAATGATCGACATGGAAAATCATATGATCCGCAGTAAATCAAAATTAAATAAATTAAAAAAAATAAATTAAAAAAATTAAAGAGGTAGTCTAAAGAAATATTTACAGTATATACATATGAAATAAATGATATTTGCTCTATAAAAAATAACAAAAAAAAAAAAAAAAAAATCAATTATTCAAAAGATGATTCATTAAACAAGCAATCTAATAAGGGATCATTCGTGATTGTCTTTTTGAATTTGAAACATTTTCGCACTCAATAAAATTTGATATGGCATCTATATATAAATCCTTATATATATCTATAGACATTGTGTTACAATTTTCTTTTGCTAGTGAACTATATTCTTTCTGTTTATTATTATTATCAAAAGTTTTATTATGAGAAATTGATTTAAGGGTAGAAAAAACTTCTCGCATATCAGGACGAAGTATTGGTTCATCTCCCCAACATCCTAGCAAAGTAAGTATAATAATATTAATAAAAAAAAATAATAATAATAATTATATTAATTAATGTCTTACTTGTATATAAGTTGCTATATCCAATAGGAGTACCATCAATTATTTTTTCTCTTTCACCTCCTTGTATAGCTAATATTAGAGCTATATCATAATCAACGCCTTCGGGGTAAAAAGGTCGACATCCACTTGAAATTTGCCACATAAGGACGCCAATACTATATACATCAGATTTTTTATCTAATTTGTAATTTTTTCTTGGATTATTAATGGTATGTTGATTATTAAAAACTTTTGGATCTGTATAAGGTATTACACCAAAGATTCTTGATGTACTACTTGATGCCTCATCGATTTTTTTTGATAATCCGAAATCTGCTAGCTTAACTTTTTTCTGGTGTATAAGTATGTTACCTGCATGCTTCAATCACATTAAAGAATAATAAGTCAAAATTTGAATTTTAAATTTCATAACATTGTAATTAAATTGATAGTTTACCAGATCACGATGAATAATATCAAAATCATGTAAAAATGATACAGCACTTGCCAGTTGCAACGCTAAGCCAAACTTATCATTCCATTGAAGTTCATTGAAGTGCTGATTTAAATAAGTTTTTAACGTACCGCTATCAGCATATTCCAAAACTAACGAATATTTTCCTCTAGCATCTGAATAAATAATAATAATATAATAATAAAATTAGTTAAGCTTTCAAAAGTTATCAAATTCATTTCTTAATACCTACCAGTTGCTACTTTTGTGATTCCGCAGAAACTTATAATGTTTTCATGAAAACCAACCTTCCGATGTAATTTTAACTGTTAAATAATATATAATGCGTTAATATAATTCAATTAAAAGTAATAAATAAAATGATATATATTAGATACCTCATTGATAATTTCTTTAAGAGTCATTTTATAGTTATTAAAGGACTTCAAGGCATAAAAGGTATCATCGCTTTTCCAAGAAATACGATTTATGGTTCCAAATGAACCAGTTGAGATTTGTTGTATATTCTTGAAGTCTGAATAATTGTAGTAATTCATATCATCTTCAGAGATAGAATTTTCTAACCATTTGATGTAATAATTTGTATTTTTGGGTTGGGTAAAATTTGACTTTATTTTTCTTAAAAAAGTCATTTTCTTGGATGGATAATATTTTTAAAGAATATAGTAGTAGTTAAGAAGAAGATATGGATGATATGATGCGAAGGAAGTGAGGACGAAAGTAATAGTAATGATGAAAATGAAGAAGATGATATGGATGATGCGGAGGAAGTGAGGTTCAAACCGAAAGGATTTTACTCCGTTTTTATAGGAAATTTACCATGTGATGAATAATTACTGCACGTGACAAATAAATTAATTAATGAACATGTGATAAATAATCTTTCTATTTTGTGATACGATTTATGTGATACGGTTAAATAAACGATAAAGAACTTATATTAACAACAATTCGAAAAGATATGGTTTAAATTTTGATACCATTTGATTTCTGTTAAAACTAAGCATGATTTTTTAATCCGGGTGATTACTGTAAATGCATTAATATGATATTTGCTAAATTTCACCGGTGGAGCTTTATAATTAGTTATCACGTGACTAAAATTTTCTTCGTACGTGACTGGCACAATTTGTCTCAAGTATTCTGAACTTTTTGATGTATAAAATCCTAACATTTATTACCGGAGTCAATCAACAAAGTTTCAATATTTGGTATAAATAATTCAATTTTAAATAATACAAAAATTCATTATAATTTCATTTGATTCAAAATTTAGAATCATTGAATAAATCTTATCCAAGCCTTGATTTAAGTCTAAATCTGAAAATTATTTTCAAAATGCTAAAAATAAAAAGAGCTAAAAAATAAAAAATCAAAACAAATACTTTATATTTATTTATTTTATAAAATTTATTAAAAATTTCATAAATTATTATTATCATTCATTTTAAATTAAATAAATAAAATAAAAAAAAATAAAAGCTAAAGAATGCATTATTCTATATGTTAATTTCAGATTTAGAATAATGAATTAGTAATAATTAATTAAATATAAAATATAATTGTTTACAAATAATTATGAATAAATATTTGATTTATATTTCACTTTTTGAATTCACAATCTAAAAAAATATATATAATATTTTTAAATTTAATCAAAATCCTTATGTAAAATTTATGATTTATTAATTTTAATTAAAATACATTATAAAATTAATTATAAAACTTTATTTTATAATAATATATTAAATTTTATTAATAGAATTTAAAATATTATTTTTTTTAATAAATAATTTTTAATATATTTAAAATTAACTTTAATTAATTAATAAATAACAAGTAATTTTATAAAATTATTAAAGAAACAATTTATTATTATTGAAATATAAATAAATATATATATATATAAATTAAAATTACTAATTAGGATAATATATTAATAAAAAATAAAAAGATATAGTAAAAAAATCAAATTTTTTTTATAAAATCATTAATTAATCTAAAATAATAAATAATTTAATTAAATTTTTATTAAAAATATATTATACTTTAAATTTTTTAGCAGATAATTTGCTTGTATATTTAAATAAATGTATTAATTTCTTAATAAAATATTAATATTAATTTTAATAATATAATATAATTACATAAAATATACAATTTAATATATTTTATTAATTTTATAAGAATATATTTTATTTAATTAAAAAGATTTTGAAATTTTTAATTTTAATATATACAGTATATTTATAAATTAATTAAATACTTTACTATTAATAAAAATATTCTATTATGATTAATAAATAAAAATAAATTTTAATAAGATTATCAAAGATTAATAATATAATTTTAAAAATTACAAAATTTTAACTTATAAGTAACTTTAAATTTAATTAAAATAATAAAATTACTATATATTTATATAAAAATTTTAATTTATTTGTAAAAGTAAATCAAAAGTAAATTTATAATAAGTAGATAAATTTATTTATAAATTTTTATAATTAAAAATTGATTTTAAATAATAATAATCAAAAAAACTATATCATAATAATTATTTTCAAATAAATTATTTTAATTATTTTTTTTTTTTTAAAAATACTTTTAGATTTTATTTGAATATCCATTTAAATAATTAATATAGATTTTATATTAAATACTTTAATTTATTAATATTTAAATTTTGAAATTAAAAATTTGAAAATTATTAAATTTTTAAATAATAAAATTATTATTTTTAAAATCTAATTTTAAATTTTTTTATTATTATATATATTAAAATTAAAAATTTTATTAGTATAATTACTTGCTTTATTATAAAATAATTAATTATAAAAATATAATCAAATAAAATATTATTTCATATTATAATATGAATTAAAGATTTTATTTTGATTAAAAAATTTAATCTGATTTAATAATTTAGTCCTTATATTTTATATAATAAAATAAAATTATATTTATTTAATTATTATTTAAATAAATGATTTTAAATTATATTATAATACTAAAATTTGATTAACTATTATTATTTTTTTATAAAAAATTAAATATTTAAATTTTTATTTTAAATTAAATATATAAAAATATATTGATAAATTTTAATTATTATTTTTAAAATAAAAATTTATAAAAATAACATAAAAGATAATTATAAACTTTTTATTAAAAGATTTTATTTTAATTATTTATTAATAATTATTTTATTATAAATTATTTATAATTATTATCCCTTAAAATATAGGTATAAATTGGTTATAAAATATTATAGAAAAATTATAATATTTTAATATCTAATAATTATAAAAAGATGAAATAAAGTTTATTAGATTTATCATATTAAAATCTATCTAATGATAGTATTTTAAAATTTTTAAAAATTAAAAATTAATATTATATATTAATTTTTCAATTTTTCAATTTTTTAAAATAACTTAATATTTAATAATTACAAGAAATAATATAACTCTTTCTAGTGATCACTCAACTAAAAATTTTTAAATAAAAAATATGTATGTGTAAATGTAACTATAGTTTAGCCTATGAATAAAAAACAAACTTTCTTTACAAACTTCTTTCTTTCTTTATTCTTCCTAAATCCTCTTATTTTAAAAAACAATCTTTATTAATTCAAACAGTGGTACTTTTTTGTTAAAATATTTTTTTTCGCCATTTTTCTTAATTATTTTTTTTTCCATTTTTTCTCTTTTTTCATTTTGCTTATAAAAATGAGCATCAGGTGTATTCTAAATGATAATCAAAATTGATAACAACTTTTGATCAATCAATCATACTTGATGATTTTTCTATTGCCTTTCTAAACAATCACACTTCTTTTAGATCTCTAATATTATAAAGTCTGCTGATTTAGCAAAATTTTTAATTCTTACAAGTATATAATTTGGATTCTATATAATAATTATTATTAGCTATAATCTGAATTAATAAACATTTTAGCATAGAAGTTTAAGAGTACTGAAAAGCCTCTGATAGAACTTAATAATATTATTACAAGGTAATTAATTATATGATCTACAAATGATCTACAATTATGACGTAATACTAAATGTTAAAAATGTCAAACATATTAAACATGTTTAACATATTAAATATATTAAATATGTTTAATATAGTTAATATGTTTAATATATCAGATATGTTTAATATAGTTTATATATTTGATATAAATTAAATATATATATAAAGGACTAAATTTATTAGAAAAGATAACTATCAATTACTTGATATAATCTGATTAGTTTAGTAATAGCTATATGCAACCTCCCTTTTTAAAGATAGCGTAAGGCTACTCTTTATTATTTATGATCAATTTACCTTTTGTATTTTTTATTTTATTCTTTTAGTTAGTTTATTTATCAATAAATGCTTTTTACCTGAAATATTTTGATAATACCTTGTATTGAAAATGTAATTAATATTTAACTTAACTAATAGAAATATATTTAATAGTATATTGAATATACTTAATAGTATAACGCGAATAAATCATATATTCATCAAAAGTTTGAATGTATTTTTCAGTATATAATAGAACTTTGTTTAATTTGAAAACTATGGATTTTACTATGTAAATTATAAAAGAGTTAACCTTTTAACATCATGTCTAATAGTTGCAATCTGAAAAGATTACATATTAATAATATAGATACACCTATAATAAAGGTTACTGTAACTAGAAATTAATCAGATAACTTAGCTAAAAATTTGTTAAAGTTATATTTATTATTAGCTTCTTTTTTAGTTTAACAATAATTCAAGTTACTTATTTTTGTATTGAATTTAAATTTAGGATAAGAATCATTATTAGGTAAAAGAAAAGAGTGTAGTAATAATTTAATTATCATATATTGATGAAAACTCTATTAATAATTATCTCTGAAGTATAGCAGGATAACCAGTTGATTTAAGACTAGTAAGTTTTTAACTTGCAAGAGCATTTTAAATAGTTCAATTTATTTTTTTTCTACTTTTATATCTAGTTTCAGGATTTTCATATATTTACTTATTGGATTTGAATTTTTATAATAAATATGAGCATTATCATATCTTTAAAAAAAAATAATTACAAGAAAATAAAATTTAGTTTGTTAGATTTATTTCATTAAGATCTATTAAATAATTATATTTTCATATTTTGAGATTAATAGATAGCAAAAAATATAAGTTTAAAATTTTAACTTTTTTTCATAATAATTTATCATATATTTATCTTTAAAATATTACTAATTAATTATATATTTTTGAATTTTTACTTAGAAAACATTATAAAATTTATTATAAAAATATTAATTTTTAAATAAATTATTATAAATAATTTTAATTATTAAATAAAATTGCAGTCAAATTTGCCTGTAAAATGCTTAAAGAGATAATCTATAATTTTATTATTAATAATAAAAATATTACATATTTAAAATTAATATATTACTCTATAATAATTTAATATTAAAATTATTATAATTATAATAATTTTAACTAAAAATGAGTATCACAATTAAAAATATAATACAATTGAATTACATTTATGATACAATTAAATTTTTTATAAGTTAATTAAGTTACAACTTAATTAAAATTTGAAAATAATTATTTTTAATTTTAATTAATAATTTAAAATCTATAACTTAATTAATATAACTTTAATTTTTATAAAATAATTATTTTTTATTTTTTTTAATGAAAAATTTATTTATTTAAAAATACTTATAAAAAATATTAAAAATTAAGATTTTTCTAATAAAATATTTTTAAAAACATTATTTATTTTCTTATTTATAAAAGATACTTTATTAAATTTTTTTATTTTATTTTTTTTTTTATTTTATTATAAATATTATTTAAAAATAAAAATTTAATAATATTTAAATTAATTAATATAATATTTTAATTTAATATTTTTTATTTTTTAATTATTTTATTTCTTTTTTTATTAGAGGCGTGCCAGAAATCAGCTGATTTCACTTTATTATAAAGCTAACCCCCACCCCCCACCTGATAATCAATTTTGATTGGCTAAAAAAAATCATATATAAAATAGTTAAATTAAAATAGTTAAATAGTAAGTAGTCAAATAAATAAAAATAAAATTAATAAATAAAGTTATCATTCGATCCATAAGTTCCTTTTTGCTATTATTCTAAAATCAATATAAAAGAATTAAGACGTGATTTATTTGTATAACAATTATTTATATTATGCATTGAGGTGATGATTAATGCAATGTCATGTGTATGAAATCCTTGGAAAATCCATAGAAAAAAATGCGAAAATGCGCTCTTATATTCTTCTTTGCATTCTTTTTTTTCAAACCAATATGCAAAGTTTTTTAAAAGCACCAAACTTTAACAAAAACTTTTTTTATAAGAAATCCCAAGATAAATATCAAGAATTTTGCAATGCATATGCATATTACAAATAAGCAATACTTTGTGACCCTAAGCCAATTCGTTAAAGAATAATGCAAGAATGTGGAAGGAAGTTTAAAAAAATGATACTGCCTTTATTGAAAATAAAATTCGGGAATATTATGACACCACACCTTCCACTATTCGCTCTCATCAAAGAATTTTTATGTCACGTGATTCAACTAACAGTTCTCGTCAAACCTCCACTCCATCCACTCCAAGACAGTTTGTTGACACTACAACAATACCACCAAATGCCAAATCACAACATATTGCAGCTGAAAAGATCAATTCAGCTGCAAAAAGCCTAACTGAATATTAACGAATGATAGAGATCGCTACAGATGACTCAATGAAAGTTTTGTTATCGTCTAAGATAATTGAAGAACAAAAAAATATATCAATACAAAATGCATAGCTAACAAAGCTGAAACGTCATGCTGAAGCTCAATTAAGGCTAGCAGCAAAAAAACAGAAATTGCTAGAAGAGGGTATTGTAGAAAAATATGATACTCCAGGATGACCATCCGCGGCTATG